CCACTATTGTACTTTGGAAACAGATAACTCATTCTCTAGGATTCATGGGTCCGTAGATGGAAAGGAATTTTGCCCCAGGGTGGAATACACCCAGAGTCTCACTTATACTTGATTTGGGTGATTCAGAAAATGAGATTTTAGACTTAGAGTTGATGTTCAAACAGAGAAAAGACTTTTAAGATGGTCTGATAGGGTGAATGTGTTTTGCACATGGGAAGGACATGAATTCCGGGCTGCCAAATGGTGGAATGTTATGGATTAAATTGAGTTCCCTGAAAATATGTGTTGGAATCCTAACCCCTATACTTGTGATGGAATCCTATTTGGGAATAGGGTTTCCTTTGTTACATTAATCAGGCCATATCAGTGTAGGGTATATCCTAAACCTAAATCACTTTCAAGTTATAAAAACAGCAGATTAGACACAGACGTGAGCGGGGCGGGGGGGTGTTGGTGGAAGAGGGGATACACACGTCACATGAAGATCATCAAGGAACTAAGGAACGCTAGGGCTACAGAAGCTGAGAAAGACAAGGATTTTCACCCAAAATTGACAGAGAGACCCTTCCCCTAGAGCTGATGACCTGAATTCAGACTTACAGCCTCCTGAAACATGAGAAAATAAATTTTGTTCTTCAAAGCTACCCACTTGTAGTGTGTCTGTTACCACAGCTCTAGGAAAGTAAGACAGTTACTAACTTAGGAGATCGGAGCATTTGGTGTTCCAAGGAGGAGAACCAATTATTTCGTCTGGTTGGCAAAACATATAGAGTTTGAGAACACAGATGTCAAATATTGCTGTTGAGCTTATTTTTTTTTTACACTAAATTTAAAATATCATTATATTTAGTCTACTAAGACTTAAAGCTATTATTTTAAAAAGTGCCCTTCAACTCCTAGAGAAGTGCTAGAACATTAACATATTACCTCAGAATAGAACTAATATTCATGACCAAGAAACTACCTACCCACTCATACTGTGAATACACATAATATATGAATTCAAGCATTTGTCCTGTTTTATAGCAATATCACAAGAAACCCACCCCAAATCCTATTAACTACTTAGTAAAATAATTTCTATTAGTAAGCATATTATTAATTGAATATTCTTTACCAATATTCAGAGGCTTTCTCAAGATAAAATCCATTTTTCTTTTCTAAGTAAGACTTAAGGGAGGGAGAAATTCAATTCCACTAAGACTATTTTGGATGAATTGCTTCCTTACTCTTTAAGAAAAACTTAGTAATAATCGAAGTTCATTATGTTGGATTTGTGGTCTGTGGAGGTCTCTATAATCTGTTTTTGATATAAATAAAATCATGTAAAGAAAAGTAATTTTCCCTT